ACTTATCTTGAGCCTCAATAGAACTTTGTGTTGGGAAATCTAAAGGGCCCTTCAGCTGAGGCACCCCGGCTTCCTTGGGCATACAGAGAGCACGTCCTGTAAACAGACATTATTTCAGGCCCAGCGTGCGACAGCACAGAGAGTGTGGGACTTCTAGATTAGTTTTTATTGTTCTTTGTGTGGGATGTGTTTAGTAGGGTTGTGCAGGGTGATAGTGGTTAGAATAATTGTTTTAGATCGAGTTTCTTAGTTACTTTAGACTTGTGTTTATGTATATTAAGAATATTTAAGAAAATTGCAAGTACTAGTCCAAACTACAAATCTTAAGATATTAATTATGCTGTGAAAATCCCCTCGTTTCCCTTTTCTGGTTTGCCTTTGATGGCTGCAGATTTCCCAGCTTCAGGCTTGGCCATTTCCCTCTTAGATCTACAAAGCGCGTAAACCGCAACACCTCTCCTTGTTTTGTGTATAGTATCCAAAACACACAAGCATGCATATTACTGTCTCAGCAAATCTCCTGGATTTTTTTTTTCTTCCTCGGTTACTTTGCTGGCATTTTCCCCAGTTCTGTGGAAAACTTCGACCTTGGCGTTATTTTGGTCCGGTGTGAAAGCATCTCAAGTGGAGAGAAAAGGGAGGCATGCAGAGATAAAGAGTCACAACTATGTGGGTTGCCAAAGTGGAGGATTGTCGATCCTTATCAGAGAGTTGAAGGGACTTTGCTGCCATTATTAGGTTAGCAATTGTGTAAGAACCTCGGCATTTCACATCACAAGATTGTCTTAGCTGTTTCATATTCTTTCACAGTGCACAGCAATAGCACTATGATTTCACTTTAACTGCTATGATATGCTAGGCCTGGAATTTGTAGTTTGGTAGGGCATCTTGGCCAAAAATGCTAAATGTCCCTCCCTTAACTACAAATGTGTGCCAAATGTAAACTTAGATTAGAGAAAGAAGGAGTAAAAAGTGGATGAAGGAATACTTATATTTTAAGATACGCACGTGACACTATTCTGCTAGGAAGAAATTTCAAGGGCTTGGAAGGATTAATGATTAAAGTATAAAGGTGAGGCTTACATTGTTAAGAAAACAAAAATAATGACCACAACCAATATATGTAACTTTAAAAAAGATGATTAAGACATTGATGTATTTTATTTATTTGTAGGCAACAAACAAATAAAATACTTATTTATTTCTGTCCCGCTTTTCTCTACCCCAAGGGGAACCCAAGGCAAACATACCCTATTTACTCAAGTATATAGACTGAAAAAGCCCACATAGGCTTATACTCGAGTCAAAGTTATTTATTATTTTACTCTGTTATTATTATTATTATTTCTATTGCATTTATTATTTTACTCTATTATTATTATTATTATTATTATGTTTACATTATTTTACTCTATTATCATCATTATTATTATTCTCTATTTATTATTTTTATTATTACATTTATTTTACTCTATTATTGTTATTTTTGTTATTTTTCTCTATTATTTTTATTATACATTTATTATTTTACTCTTCTAGCCATCCCCTGCCGTGCGTTGCCGTGGCCCAGTCTGTGTATATGTGTTTTGTGTGTGTGTGTGTATGAGTGTCTGTATGTTTGTGTATATGGGTGTTTGTGTATATATGTGGTTTGCGCATGCGTTGTAATTTTTGTTTTTTGGCTTTTTACGTCCCTTCTGCTTTGTATTTCAGTGTTTTTATGAGTGATGGTCACTCATTGGCATGATAGGTGTATTGTGTCCAAATTTGGTGTCAATTCGTCCAGTGGTTTTTGAGTTATGTGAATCCCACAAATGAACATTGCATTTACATTGAAGAAGCTTATAATAATGGTTTAATCAGTGTTGGACAGTCTTATCTTAATTACAGTTTCATGTAAATATTCAAAACATTTAACCTACTGATGCCTCAATTAATGTAATTTTATTGGTATCTATTTTATTTTGAAATTTACAAGTAGCTGCTGCATTTCCCACCCTTTGCTTATACTCGAGTCAATACGTTTTCCCAGTTTTTTTCCGGTAAAATTAGGTGCCTCGGCTTATATTCGGGTCGGCTTGAGTATATATGGTAATTAAAGGCTTTCCTTTTCTCATTCATTCATCAGAATGGGGATTGCATCCAAGAAACCAGAAGAAGACTTGGGTTGCACCTATGCTATAGAATTAATACAGTTTGATACCCTTTTAACTGCTATGCTATGGAATAATTGGAGTTGTAGTTTGGTGGGGCACAAGCATTATTTGGCAGAGAAGCCTAAAAATCTTATAAAAATGGGTTTCCAATCATGCAGACCTAAACTTATCACAAAGTTGGAAAATTCTATCGGCCTTCTGCTCAGCCCCACCTCGGTCTCTAAAGATACAGACAGATTTCTCAAAGAAACCTAAGAAATCCTGCTTTTGCAGGTATCTCACCTGATGGGAGAAGTGTATCTGCCAACCCTTGTAGCCTCCAGCTTCAGATCACACCCTACAACTGGGAGGATTTGTTCTCAGTTTAGTAGTGCAATTTGTGTGTCTGGTTCCTGCCCCCCACCCCAAGGTGTTCCCATGTTCAAAGGGTGTTTCCACTCAGGAGGCTCGACTCCAAAGAGTGATGGAACCGGTTCTGGGTCTTAAAGTACACAGAGAACTTGGGGTCCCACATTGTGTGGATCTGTGGCATTCAACACACAAGCGTAGGATGAGGATTCCAGCATAGAAACTATGTGTTGTTGGGCTTGGCCTCATGTAAGCCGCTCCGAGTCCCTTGGGAAGATGGTGGCGGGGTATAAATAAAGTATTATATTATGATGATGGTGATGATGATGATGATGATGATGATGATGATGATGATGGAAGGCTAGACCTTTGTTTGATAGTGAGTTTCCATGAATATTGCTGGTCCCCTAACTGGGTATAATGTAAGGTAAATAAAACATCTCTCTCTCACATTCTTTCTATGTACATATATGTCAAAGTACGTATTTATGCTTGTCTGCCTGCTGGTATCACAATGTCTGTTGCAAGGTGAAGTGGCTCTCTAAGACACCACTGGATTGGTTGTTGGTAGGTGAAGTAGCCCTCTGTAATGCCTCTGGGAACGAAAGATGACATGAATATGTATGGAAGGGAGAAAGTAGGCAGGCAGCAGTCTCAATGACACCTGAGTAACACCAGGCATATACTTACTTATTTACTTACTTACTTAGTTTATCCCTCTAGCTCGAGGATGATGGTCCTCTTGGTGGTGGGTCTGTAGGTGGCTGTGGATCCCTATTCTTGATCCACATGTTCTCCCGCAGTGAGGACATCATTTTCCAAGTGGATGGCGGTCCCAGACAGGGTTGGTTTGATTCACCTTCCTCTTGGCACATTTCTCCCTTTCACCCTCCATTCATACCTCTTTGAATTCTGCAGCACTGCTAGTCACAGCTGTCTTCCAGTTAGAGTGCTCAAGAGCTAGGGCTTCCCAATTCTCTGTGTCTATCCCACAGTTTTTGAGGTTGGCTTTAAGCCCATCTTTAAATCTCTTTTCCTGTCCACCAACATTACGTTTCCCATTCTTGAGTTCGGAGTATAGTATAGTTGCTCGACTCCAAACTCAAGAATGGAAAACAGAATGTTGGTGGACAGGAAAAGAGATTTAATGATGGGCTCAAAGCCAACCTTAAAAACTGTGGCATAGACACTGAGAACTGGGAAGCCCTGGCCCTTGAGCGCTCCAGCTGGAGGTCAGCTGTGACCAGCAGTGCTGCAGAATTTGAAGAGGCACGAATGGAGGGTGAAAGAGAGAAAATGCCAAGAGGAAGGCGCATCAAGCCAACCCTGACCGGGACCGCCTTCCACCTGGAAACCAATGCCCTCACTGCAGGAGAAGATGCAGATCAAGAATAGGGCTCCACAGTCACCTATCTACCCACCACCAGGATACTGACCTTGGAGGAGTATCCTACTCGGACAATGAGGGATTACCTAAGTAAGTAAGTAATCCATTCTGGATGTAAGTAAGGCGTGTACCCTCGTGACCAAGAACAATACAATATTTAAAATGAGGAAACAATTTTACCCAACATAAACTTAACAGTATTTCAATGGAAGACTCCATGGGCCATCCAGTCCACCCCCCCAAAATGCAGGAAAAAGACAATCAAAGCATCCCAGAGTAGTGGGATGGAAATTGAGTTTAGGTAGCAAGGAAGGAAGGAAGGAAGGAAGTTTAGGTAGCACTGGAGGGAAAGATACTAGAGACAAAGTTGAAGTACTTTGGCCACATCATGAGGAGACAGGAAAGCCTAGAGAAGACAATTATGCTGGGGAAAGTGGAAGGCAAAAGGAAGAGGGGCCGACCAAGGGCAAGATGGATGGATGGCATCCTTGAAGTGACTGGACTGACCTTGAGGGAGCTGGGGGTGGTAACGGCCGACAGGGAGCTCTGGCGTGGGCTGGTCCATGAGGTCACGAAGAGTCGGAGACGACTGAACGAATGAACAACACAACAACAAGCAAGGAAGGTGAGGAAAAAAGGCTTTTGAGGGTCAGGAAAGAGGAGGGAAAGCTTAGAGGGAGAGGACGGGAGGGAGAGGAAAGCACAGAGCCCCTCAATATGCTTTGCGGAGCCCCAAGGACTCCACGGAGCACACTTTGAGAACCGCTGCCTTTAGATATTCACCCTTTTGTCTTCTCATAATTGAACTGAACTGTATTTTGTTCATAGTTTGCATGACTTTGTGATTAGGGTTTAATGAGATGTTTTGGGTCTTGGAGACTGGAAGGTGCCAAAAAGGGTGTCACATGCAAATTGTATGCAGATCGATTTCCTCTTATCTGAAGATGGATTTCCTCCTTTTGGCTGTTAAATATCTGGCTTCCCTGCTTCTTAGCATCTTAACAAGCTCATGAAAAAAATTGCAGGCCAGCAACTTTTGTGGCGTTGTTTGCAAGGCTGGAGTCAGAAGGACATCACAAGAAAGTAAACTTTTGCATTCACACCCGCAGAACACAGGGACCATGTGCTGCTGAGCAATGGTGCTTCGGAACACAGAAGCCATGGGAGTCCTGAGCCAGTCGGAGCTGTGCCCTTCGCCAGCCGCCTTGGAAAAGGATCACCTCGAGGAGGCCCAGATCCTAGAAAAGGAGACATCTCCAACCCAGAGCAGTACAGAAGGCGACTCCCTTTCTTCAGAAAATGGATCCAGTCCCAGAGGCAGCTCTGGCAACTGTACAGATGATGAAGCCAGTAGCACTGAGAGTGCCAAGAATGGGGTGAGTGGCCTTTGGGAAATCCCTCTTATTTTATTTCTTATTGTATGTATTTCTTACATACCTTAGCATCCATACACGATTTCCATCAATCTCCATATCTTATTATTTATTTATTTATTATTTACCATACTTGTATCCTGCCTTTCTCAACCTTGAAGGGTACTCAAGGTGGCCTCACAAAGGCAACAATTCAATGCTGAATGTACACTAATGAATAAACATTAATGAATAAACACAAACATTAAAACCAACCAATTGAAACATAACATTGAAACAGCCACATAATCCAGGTCATATCCAGGTCTTTTATTATTGTTGTTGTTATTGCTATAATGTTGTTATTGCTGTTGTTGTTGTTGTTGTTGTTATTATTATTATTATTATTATTATTATTATTATTATTTGAAACACAACAAGATGTGTTCATAGCAGACACACTGCTGGCTGTTGTATTGGATCACACATCGGACACTTCCCAAGTGTCTAGGACTGTGTGATGTATTGGTGAATGATGCATACAGATCCCAGTAAGGTGGCCTTCTGCAGCTGGCAGATGGTAATTTTGTCAATGCCGATTGTGCTTAAGTGCAGGCCAAGGTCTTTAGGCACTGCACCCAGTGTGCCGATCACCACTGGGACCACCTTTACTGGTTGTACCAGAGTCTTTGCAGTTCGATTTTTAAATCCTCATATCGTGTTTCTCTACAATCCTGCTGTCACCTGGGATTGTGACATCGACGATCCATACTTTGTTTTTTAACACAATTGTGAGGTCAGGAGTATTATGCTCCAAAACTCTGTCTGTCTGAATCCGGAAGTCCCAGAGGAGTTTGGTGTTCATTCTCTGTAACTTTTTCTGGCTTGTGATCCCACCAGTTAGTTGTTGCAGGCAAATGGTATTATTATTATTATTATTATTGGAAAAATAACAAGAGTTGTACACAGCAAACAAGATGTGGCTTTTGTATTCGATCACATGTTCGACACTTCCCACGTTCCTAGGAATATGTGATGTATCGTCAACTAAGGCATGCAGATCCGAGTAGGATAGTCTTTTGCAGCTGACAGGTGGTAATTTTGTCAGCGCCAATTCTTTTTAAGTGCAGGCCAAGGTTTTTAGGCACTGCACCCAGTGTGCCAATCACCACTGGAACCACCTTTACTCTATCTAATATCTTCCTTCCTTCCTTCCTTCCTTCCTTCCTTCCTTCCTTCCTTCCTTCCTTCCTTCCTTCCCTACCTACTCTTCCTCCTCTGCCATCTTCTTAGCAATACTACAGTAAATCCTCCTGAAATGAATGAAGTAGAAACATATCATGGAATCACAATGGAAATCTTAGAAAATGCTGAGAGACAACATCTCTCTAGCCTTTCTAGGCATGACTTATAGATCATGCTGGAGGGCCTACAAAATGCCTTGAGATAATTTTTTGGGGGTGGTACAAATACAGAGGCCATATTATAATATTATCACCATACTACCTTTTCCCCCAAAGATTGATTCAAGACAGCTTACAAAAGTTGAAACAGATGCAGCTAGAAAACTACATCACACAAAAATTGAAAATGAGATGAAAAGCATGTTCAAACCAATAAACATTACAACATATTTTGAAAAGCCCTTTCTTACCTGAGCAGTCAGTCTTCAGTGGCTTGCTAAAGGCACAAAAAGCTTATTCTCTAGGAATCTACAGGTCAGTATCTACCATTAGTTGGACTTAGAATCACACTGGAGGACCTAGTCATTCATCAGGAAAACAGAATAATCAGATTCCCGAATAATCAAATCCACCAAAGTTAAACCCACAAATGTGGAGGGTTGCCTGTTGTTACTTTTAGTCCTGTCCAGCATTATTTAGGGGTCTGAGTGCTGAACAAAAACCAGGGTTGACATTCCTATTTAAGCAATTGAAAGAAAACCACTGGATTTATCTATTTATTTATTTACCATACTTGTATACTGCCTTTCTCAGCAAGTGAGTACACATAATATCAAAATACAAATTACCGTATATACTCGAGTATAAGCCGACCCGAATATAAGCCGAGGCACCTAATTTGACCACAAAAAACTGGGGAAAAGTATTCACTTTGGTATAAGCTGAGGGTGAGAAATGGAAGTCGCTACAGGTCAATTTAAAAAAATCGATACCAATAAAATTACATTAATTGTAGGTTAAGTGTTTTTTTGAATATTTACATAAAACTGTAATTTAAGATAAGACTGCCCAACTCTGATTAAACCATTATTCTAAGCTTCTTCAATGTAAATGTGCTTACTTATCCTTCCAATAATAATAGAGTAAAATAATACATGTAATAATAACAATAATAAAGCAAAATAATGGAAATGTAATAACAACATTAATAATAGAATAAAATAATAAATGCAATAATAGCAAAAATAATAAAGTAAAATAATAAATGTAATAATAATAATAGAGCAAAATAATGGAAATGTAATAGTAACAGTAATAATAATAAATGTAATAATTACTATAATAAATAGAGTAAAATAGTAATAATAACAACAATAATAAAGTAAAATAATAAATGTAATAATATTTATTTATTTATTTATTTATCGTGTCAGGCAACCGGACAGTTGTATTACATTTTTAACAGAACAAACAAACATACAAAAACACAGAGTTTGCAAGCTTGGTAGTTGATTAAATGTCCTTTGACCAGTATCTGGCCACTTGGAGTGGCTCTGGTGTTGCCACAAGAAGGTCCTCCATTGTGCATGTGGCAGGGCTCAGGTTGCATTGCAGCAGGTGGTCTGTGGTTTGCTCTTCTCCACACTTGCATGTGGATTCCACTTTGTAGCCCCATTTTTTAAGGTTGGCTCTGCATCTCGTGGCGCCAGAGTGCAGTCTGTTCAGCGCCTTCCAAGTCGCCCAGTTTTCTGTGTGCCCAGGGGGGAGTCTCTCATTTGGTATCAGCCATTGATTGAGGTTCTGGGTTTGAGCCTGCCACTTTTGGACTCTCGCTTGCTGGGGTGTTCCAGCAAGTGTCTCTTTAGATCTTAGAAAACTATTTCTTGATTTAAGTTGTTGATGTGCTGGCTGATACCCAAATAAGGGATGAGCTGGAGATGTCACTGCCTTGGTCCTTTCGCTATTGGCTGCTACTTCCCGGCAGATGTCAGGTGGTGCAATACCGGCTAGACAGTGTAATTTCTCCAGTGGTGTAGGGCGCAGACACCCCGTGATAATGCAGCATGTCTCATTAAGAGCCACATCCACTGTTTTAGTGTGGTGAGATGTGTTCCACACTGGGCATGCGTACTCAGCAGCAGAGTAGCATAGCGCAAGGGCAGATGTCTTCACTGTGTCTGGTTGTGATCCCCAGGTTGTGCCAGTCAGCTTTCGTATGATATTGTTTCTAGCACCCACTTTTTGCTTGATATTCAGGCTGTACTTCTTGTCAGAGCATGGTCCAGAGTGACTCCCAGGTATTTGGGTGCTGCAATGCTCCAGTGGGATTCCTTCCCAGGTAATCCTCAGAGCTTGGGATGCTTGTCTGTTCTTAAGGTGAAAAGCACATGTCTGTGTTTTAGATGGGTTTTATTAGATGTGTTTATTTATTAGATGGGTTTTATTTTAGATGTGTTTTATAATAATAATAATAATAATAATAATAATAATAATAATAACAGAGTAAAATAATAAATAATCTTGACTCGAGTATAAGCTGAGGGAGACTTTTTCAGCCTAAAAAAAGGGCTGAAAAACTAGGCTTATACTCGAGTATATATAGTAAACATTAAAAACAATATAAAAACCACAACAGAAACAATTAAACCAACATCATTAGCATCTCCTAGTTAAGAACATTGTCCAATTCCATTGTCAAATGATTCTAATTCCTATGTCAGTTACTCTGCATTTGTAAACACTTGCTCTAACAACCATGTCTTAACTTGTCTTCAAAACGTTAAGAGTGAGGGAGCCGATCTAATCTCCTTAGGGAGGGATGACCTTGAAAATAAACACAACTTCAGTAGGGTTTAATTCTGGACTTCAAAGGATCTACCCAAGGTTTTAGACCCTGTTACCCAAAAGACCTTGAACTTCTTGAAGCAAAATGCAAACCAAGGTTGCTGCCACTGAAGAGTTTGCAACATGATTCTTAAGATGGAATGACCACCAATGGTGGACACCCAATTTCATTTTGAGAATGCACCCCGTGTCTAGTTGTAGCTCCTAATCATGCCATCTTTCTCTTCCCAGAATGGGAGTCCATGTGCAGCAAGGAATGGGGGCCACTTGAAAGGGGAAGGTGCAACTGAGCAGTGTGGTCAGAACAAGATTGTGGCTCTGGAAAATCGGATCAAGGACCTGCATCACCGGAAGAAGGAGCTCAATATTGAGGTAGACTTTCTTTGGCCTCCTTCGTATCTCTCCTTGAGTCACAGGGAAGAGGCTGCCTGTTGGAGAACAGTCGGCACCTGTCAAACCGGTATTGTGAAAGCACCACTCCCAGGCAGGCAGGGAAGGGTGACATTGAGAAAGAGAGAGAGAGTAGAACCTATTGGTTCCACCAAACAGGGAACACAGGGTGCTCTTTCCAGCATGGGGAGTATTCAGAAATGATCTGATTGGGCATCTCTGGAAGCCACACCAGATTCTTGGGATCTTCTGTTTTCCCCTTTCTATTTACTTGCGTTTACCCCTCTGCCCCCTGGTGGTTGATTTGGGAGCTGTCAGTCATCACAACCATGTTCTTCCTGGGATGTTCTGGTTGAGTTCATCTCACATGGCTTTCCTCCATGGTAGATGGACCTGGAAGATGCTTTGGTGGAAGGAGAACTGAACGATGAGAAGCAAGAGCTGAGATGGGAAGAGGAACGGCTACTGGAGTTGCAGAGGCGACTTGCTGAGACTGAACACAGGTGCCACGCCGAGCGGGAAAAGGTGAGCTGCTCTGCTGCACTGGAAAATATGTATGTATGTATATATGTATGTTAACTTTCCCAGGATATGGTTCATGTTTAGAGTCTATGTCCAGATTTCTTTGGATGCAACTGAAGTTGCAATGTATGCAATGTACCCTTGTTTTTATATTGACTTTTCTGAAACACTGCAGGGCACATATATGGAATATGGTAGGACCTTAAGGACTTCCTCCAGATACTATGGATAATAGGGAATCCTCTGTTTTTACATTTCTCTGTCCATTTGTTTTCCCAGCTAGTTTCAGATGCCATGTTTTGCCTTCTCCTGTGCCTCCAAATGCATGTATTTAAATCTGTTTAGCCAAGCGCAACTCTTTTCTCTTTTTCCATACATTGCTGTACTATGTCTGATCCTCTGAGCATGTTTTATATCATTTAGTTAGCATACATTTTTACTAAATGGAGAATTCAAAGAGTGAGGAGAGAGTTAGACCAAAACATGAACTCACCAGCAAAAAAAAGAAAAGAAATTTTCCCCTTGAATGCTTATAATGCCATCATATTGTTTAGTCACTAGGTGGAACTAGAGTTCTTTGCATCTAACCAAACTTTCTCTGTGTGAGTTTAAAATACATTTAATATTTATTTATTAAAATATTTTCATCCTGTCTTTCCTTTCTGAGATCTCAGGACAGCTAACATAAAACAATGTGAACAATTTAGAGAATTAAAATTAGTAAATAATGTTTAAGTAAACATGACAAAAAAATAATTAAATAATTCAAAGAAGTTAAAACAGCTTTAAAAGACTAGAAAAGTATCTATCTATCTATCTATCTATCTATCTATCTATCTATCTATCTATCTATCTACCCATATCCACAGGGGGGATACATTCCCAGCCAGACTGCAATTACCCAAAAATATGGATATGACTGAATGCCATTAGATTATCCAACTTTGTATGGGATTGCTCTGGAGCTGTATTTCTGACCAGGGACCATTTTGACCAGGGACCACTCTCCAACATTAGTACCAAAAGGGTTACAAATAGGTTTTTGGTCAACTTTAGATTTGGTTTAGTTATTTGTGGTGCTGAAAATTGCATTGGATAGACCACATCAGTTCTAGTTTCTGATACAGAACATATGCCATTCAGTAGTCACCATCTTCTCACCCACAGAAAACCATATTTAATAAGCCCTGGAACTATAAGAGGATTTTGTGAGACCAATTGCTCTCGTTGCAACGGTGTAGTAACAGTGAGGCTGCGGACCATATTTTAGTTCTTGCGTACCACTGGTGGTCCACAGACCATAGGTTGGAAACCACTGCTCTGGTTTCCCACTCTAAAGTTATGCTAGATCCTCCACTGTCATTCTATGGTCACCATGGAATTTCCTGGAGGACCTAATACATTCCTAGACCAGGCATCCTCAAACTCAAGTCCTCCAGCTGTTTGGACCTCCAACTTCCAGAATTCCTGACTATGGAACAAGCTAGCCAGGGCTTCTGGGAGTTGGAGACCTGAGCAACTGGAGGGCTGGAGTTTGAGGATCCCTGTTCCAGAGAGACTACTTTCCTCAGTTGTGGATAAATGAAACTGCCTATAGTCTCTGCAGTTACAGGGATCTTAAAGTAAAGGGATGGAGCAGCAGATTAAACTGCTTAGCTGCCTAACTGAAAGGTTGGTGGTTCGAATCTGGGTAGTGGGGTGAGCTCTTGCTGTTATGCCCGACCTTTGCCAACCTAGCAGTTTGAAAACATGCAAATGTGAGTCGATCAATAGGTACTGCTCCGGCAGGATGGTAACGGCACTCCAAGCAGTCATGCTGGCCACATGACCTTGGAGATGTTTGTGGACAATGCCAGCTTGTCGTCTTAGAAATCGAGCTGAGCACCACACTCCAGAGTTGGACACGACTAGACTTAATGTCAGGGGAAGTAAATTACACCTAGAAGTAAATTAGATCCAGAAGCTTCATTACCAAACTGCACCCTGCGTAGCCTGAATGGTAAATTGTCTCTTCTAGCCCTTGTGTTGGTTTGGACATTTTTTTAAAGACTACCATGTGAACATCATTGACTTTGTAAAGAAGGATGATCAAGACTTGTAAAGGTTCATCCAGTCCAGTAAATAAGCCACACAACTTACTAGGGTGTAATGTATTTTTATTCACTGAGCTCCCTTTCAGCATGAAAATGCAGACTGCTGGCCTCCTTGTAGGCCAATTAAATCTAATTAAAACCCAACCAACCAGTGGAGGAGAAGGGGGCGTGCATGATCCTTCATTCACTTTGCTAATTCACCTGAGTGAATTTTCAGGTCATGTGGAACCAGACTGTAGAAAAAGTTACTTTTTAGGCTACTGCTCTCAGAATGCCCTAGCCAGAATTGGCCAGCGCTGGCTTGGGAGAGTCTGGGAGCTCTTGTCCCCACATTCACGCTCTCACTTCTGCCTAAGGCCACCAGCTAACTTGTTAAATCCAAGGTGGGAGTTACCACATTACTGAAAACTAAACCGCACAGGTTGTGTTATCGCCCGCGCTGATCAAAGGTGTGCCCTTATCCAAGAACTTGGGAGGCGAGGATGAAGTGAGTGGTTGGATATATTTATTACCAATGGGAATGTAGTAATGCTACCCTGCCCTCTTTATTTTTTGCCAGGAGAAGACGCGGCTGCAACAGGAGCGTCGCAAGGTAGAAGAGTTGCAACGGCAACACGCTGAATCGCAGATTCACCTTGACAGCCAACCCGAATCAATGCGGGAGCGGATGCAGAGCCAGCTGCAGGAGGTGAGCGAGGAGCAGGGACTTACGCAAGTTACTCTGGGGGGATCTTGGAGCATCTGGTGAAAGACTTGGAAGGAAATGGTGGACCTCTTGGGAGACTGGGAAATGTGGTGGATCTTGAGGGGAATTGGAGTATTTGGTGAAACATTTGACAGGTTGGAGCATTTGACAGAATTATTTTGAGATGTGAATATTTTGAGAAACTTGAGAGAATGGAGCATTAGGATAAATTCTTGATGATTGAAACATTTGATTTAGGATGTTGGAGTACTTGGGGAAACTCTTGGGAGACTGGAGCATTTGATGAAATGCTTGGGAGATTGGAGCATTTGGGGAAACTCTTTGGAGACAAGAGCATTTTGTGAAGCTATTGGGGATTGGAGCATGTGGTAGAAGTCTTGGGAGATTGGTGCATACAGTTTGATTCATGGGAGCATGGAGAGCATGCTAAAACCTCAAAGGATCCTCCAGTTTTATTTTGCCGGTCTGTGAGAGAAGCTTTCCTTTTTGGAAAGATGCACACAATGTGGCAGAGTATGTTGAACGTTGGGCTACAATTCAGGGGACCAGGGTTCAAATTTCCACTCTGACATTGGGTGACTCTCATCAAGTCACACATTGTTAGCCCCAGAAAGCCTATTAATCTGTTTGCCCTAGAGCAGTGGTTCTAAGTCTTCCTAATGCCACGACCCCTTAATATAGTTCCTCATGTTGTGATGACCCCCGACCATAAAATTATTTCCATTGCTACTTCATAACTGTAATTTTGGTACTGTAATGAATCATAATGTAAATATCTGATATGTAGGATGTATTCTCATTCACTGGATCAAATTTGGCACAGATACTAGATATGTCCAAATTTGAATACTGGTGGGGTTGAGGGGGATTTTGTCACCTGGGAGTTGTAGTTGCTGGGATTTATAGTTCACCTACAATCAAAGAGTATTCTGAACTCCACCAACAATGCAATTGAACCAAACTTGGCTCACAGAACTCCCATGACCAACAGAAAATACTGGAAGGGTTTGGTAGGCAATTGACCTTGAGTATTGGAGTTGCAGTTCGCCTACATCCAGGTAGTGCACTGTGGACTCAAACAATGATGGATCTGGACTAAACGTGGCACAAATACTTAATATTCCCAAATGTGAACACTGGTGGATTTTGGGGAAAATAAACCTTGACATTTGGGCGTTGTAATTGTTGGGATCTGTAGTTCGCCTACAATCAAAGAGCTATCTGAACCCTAACAACAATAGAACTGGGCCAAACTTCCCACATGGAACCCCCATGACCAACAGAAAATACTGTGTTTTCTTATGGTCTTTGGAGACCCTTCTGAATCCCCCCCTTGTGACCCCCTCCCCGGGGTCTCAACCCCCAGGTTGAGAAATGCTTCCCTAGAGTTACCATGAGTTAGTAAAATGATTCAAAAGCACTCAATAAGAACAACACATGGAAAGAGATGCATTTGGAGAAGAAAGAGAACCACAGAGAAGGATTCTAATCCTGCCTGTTTTTCCAAGCCTTAGATTTTTATTATGAGGCTATGTGGTTTTTTTACAGCAGCAATAATACTGGAAACAAGTTATTTTGTGTCTACCAATACTCTGAAATTGTACTTTCGCAGACCGGTTCTAACCCATAATCGGCTGTACAGAAGGTCTTGCCATCTCTGCAAAGAGCCTTCTACGTTTTTGCAAGTTGTGGAGATGCAAGCAGAGCTATCTATCCTTCAGATCACTTGGAGTCACAGCCCTAAGTCACAGACTCTAGAAACTCTGTGTTGATATTGATTCTCTCTTCTCAGACATCTGAAATGCTGGAAGGAGCCCTGAGATGCTACGAAGACCTAGAATTCCAACAGCTCGAGAGAGAGAGCCGGTTGGAAGAGGAGAAGGAGGCCGCCTGCCAAGCACTGGCTGAAGAAATCACTCAGTTACAGAACAGCATCAATAAGAGGAAGGCAAGAGATCCAGTTGTAGTAGATGTTTGGCTTTGTTCTCACTCCAGTGGTTTTCCATTCCTATGCCTTTTTAATCTATGCAGCAGCCTATGCATGTAAAACGTTTTTCCAAAAATAACATAGATGTTGTTTGTGAATACATGTCATGACCTGCTGTGCAAAAAGGCATGAGATACAGGTCTAGTTACTTTTCTTTTGAATGCAAACATACATTCAGGGAGATTCACCAACTGAAAGTTTCATTGGCTGGTTGGCAGGGGAGGCAGTTTTAAATTAACTCAGCCAGCTTTTCATAGGTGGGATCAAGCATTAATGTCACACCAGCTCATTTTGGATGACTTTATACTATTGACTCCTTAGGGTAAGGAGCCAATGAGTTGTAGTGGTTTGAGGATTCATTCTATATTATAGAATTAATTCAAGTTGACACCGCTTTAATTTCCATGGCCCAGTGCCATGGAAATCTGGGAGCTATAGTTTTACAAGACCCTTTAACTTTTCTGACATTTCGTGTTGGTGCCAAACTACAAATCCCTGCCACTGAGCCATGGCAGGTAAAGTGGTATGAATTTGCATTACCGTAAATACTTGAGTATCAGCTGAGTTTTTCAACCCTTTTTTTAGGCTGAAAAGGCCCTCCTTGGCTTATCCTCAAATCAAGGTTTTTTATTGGGTTGTTGTAGGTTTTTTCGGGCTATATGGCCATGTTCTAGAGGCATTCTCTCCTGACGTTTCGCCTGCATCCATGGCAAGCATCCTCAGAGGTAGCCCGAAAAAACCTACAACAACCCAGTGATTCCGGCCATGAAAGCCTTCGACAATACAAGGTTTTTTTAAATTATTTTCATCTGTTATTATTTTAATCTGTTTTTTATTATTATTTATTATTATTATCATTATTATTATTAGATTTATTATTTTACTCTATTTATTATTGTTATTATTACATTTATTATTTTACTCTATTATTATTGTTATTATTACATTTATTATTTTACGCTATTATTATTATTTATTACATGTATTATTTTACTCTATTATTATTGAAAGGATACGTAAGCACATTTACATTGCAGAAGGTTGGAATAATGCTTTAATCAGAGTTGGACTGTCTTATCTTAAATTACAGTTTTATGTAATTATTCAAAAACATTTCACCTACTCATAGAATCATAGAGTTGGAAGAGACCTCATGGGCCATCCAGTCCAATCCCCTGCCAAGAAGCAGGAATATTGCATTCAAAGCACCTCCGGCAGATAGCCATCCAGTCTCTGTTTAAAAGCCTCCAAAGAAGGAGCCTCCACCACACTCCGGGGCAGAGAATTCCACTGCTAAATGGCTCTCTCAGTCAGGAAGTTCTTCCTAATGTTCAGATGGAATCTCCTTTCTTGTAGTTGATGCCTCAATTAATGTAATTTTATTGGTATCTATTTTTATTTTGAAATTTATTAGTAGCTGCTGCATTTCCTTGGCTTACCCTTGAATCAATACATTTTCACAGTTTTTTGTGGTAAAATTAGGTGCCTTGGCTTATATTTGGGTTGGCTCATACTCGAGTATATAGGATAATTCTACAGTATTGATTCAGCCTATGACTCTGGATACTGGAGTCTCTGCTCAATCATAAGACGCACTTGGTGATCTTGGGCAAATTGCATTTTCTCAGCCTCTGAGGAAAGCAATGGTAAACCACTTTTTGAACAAACCCTTCCAGGAAAATTCTGTGATAGGTTTGCTTTAGGGTTGCCATTGGTCAGAAACAAGGTGCACATCAAGAAGAAGTTACATTTTAAATGTGCCCATATCTTTTAGGAAAGGAGTATCAAACTGCAGGTCAATTCCCTTTTGGTTCATCATCTTTTGCTTTTCAAAATTTGCATTTTGCTATATTGCAATATTCAAAATAGAAGTTGAATCTACATAATGGGAGGTGATTCATCAATTAATGATTCTTTAGTTAGTTCCCAAGACTAGGGTTGTTTTTCTCAGTTTGATTTCAAACTGACCTGTACTGAAACAGAAGCAACTGATGGTTCTCATGCCAGTGGGGTGGTGAATCCGGTCCACATTTTATTTTTAACTTTTGAAGAACTCTCCAAGGTGTTGAACCCATGCCCGAAATAGATTCAGTACTTTGGAAAGTCCCTATAACTCTGGACAGAAACCTGGAGCAAAGGCACTGCTCCACTGACATGGGAGAAATACCACCTGCCATGTATATAAGAGGGACAAAATATTTATTTTTCAAAATAATTAATCACTGTTATTTGTAATGATGCTTCCAAAGGTAGTTTGTTTGTGCTAATTATTCCATTGCTGGGATAAATAACATTCCCAGTTGCATTGCTTGCCAAGGTGCACATAGTCTGAGTCGATACTGTAGAATTACCCTATGTACTTGAGTATGAGCCGACCCAAATAGAAGCCAAGGCACCTAATTTTACCAAAAAAACTGGGAAAACATATTGATTCAAGTATAACCCAAGGGTGGGAAGTGCAGCAGCTACTAGTAAATTTCAAAATAAAAATAGATACCAATAAAATTACATTAATTGAGGCATCAAGTACAAGAAAGGAGATTCCATCTGAACATTAGGAAGAACTTCCTGACTGTGAGAGCCGTTCAGCAGTTACATTTATATAGGAGCCATGGTGGTGCAATGGGTTAAACCCTTTTGCTGCCTGAACTGCTGAGCTGAGCTGAAGGTCAGCAGTTTGAATCTGCAAGATGAGATGAGTTCCCACCTGTCAGCTGCAGCTTCCCATGTGGGGCATGAGCGAAGCCTCTCACAGGATGGAACACACCCGGGCCTACGTCCTTGCAGTCGGCCAATTCTCTCACACTAGAAGTGACTTGCAGTTTCTCAAGTTGCCTCTGACATGAAATATATACATTTATTTTGTTGTCAAGATTGTTATGAAAAATCCCTTACAAAATAAGTAGAAAAGTTCCTGTTGGCAATGCATCTCACACAAACCTAAAACGTCCTTCATAAGACATTCTAACAACTAACTAGAAATATGTAACTCATCCCACCAGTTAAGTAGCTTTGTTCCCATTTGTGATGCTAAGTTTGGAATGCAACTTATTATGTTTTTTCGGCTTCCTTATTGTGGCATCCTCCCAAAGACAGTTCATTCCAGGTTCCAATCTCAACCAGTAAAGTCCTTGCAAACATTCATCTGGTCTTGTAAATGAGCTGCAAACGTGATTAGCTTGCAACATGTTTTTATTAGTGGTATGGAGATCTTTCTTTCAGCCTGAATATGCAGATGAATGGCCTTTTTGGTAAGCTAATTAAACCTAATTAAAACCAAGGCGGAGGACAGAGTGATCTATCTGGCCTTCATGTTGTTAACTATCCTGAATGCATTACTGATCACAGATGGTCAACATCTGGAAAAGTTACGTTTTTGGACTACAATTCCCAAAGCCAACTTTGGCCAACTGAACCACATTACTTGTGACATATTGTTTGGGAATGAGAGAACTTTTGTCTTGCTGTGCCCATGCAGCAAGAAATCATTGGGTTCTGACACACCTGCTTTCTCTCCACCCTTCCAGAGAATGGTGCAGAGGCTGGAGGGCCAGGCCCGCTTGACGCAGGAGCAGATGGTGGATGAGTGCCAACGATTTGCACAGGAGACGGGAGAGGCTGTAAGGAATCTCAATGCGGTAAGGAATACTCTTTCTCCTGAAAGTAGCCAGGAAAGTTCCCACAATCCTGACTTTTCTCTCTTTGCATTCCAACCTGATATTTCTCTATAGTAGGGCCAGTTGTAGGCGATTTTCTAGCAATAGCAGTCATACCAGGTTCTAGTCTGTTTCCTGGCTTAAGCCAAGCTTACTGAGGTCTATAAGGCCTTAAGTCAGTGGTTCTCAACCTGTGGGTCCCTAGATGTTTTGGCCTTCAACTCTCAGAAATCCTAACAGCTGGTAAACTGGCTGAGATTTATTGGAGTTGTAGGCCAAAACACCCAGGAACCCAAAGGATGAGAACCACTGCCTTAAGTGGTTGAAGATCAGGTTATCTAAAGGCTAAAGATTTATTATATGAACTTGTCTAAGCATTGAGAGCTTCTAGAGCAGTGAAGGCTGGTGTCTCCAACAGCAGCAGAGCAGTGAATCCACTCTTGGTTTAAGTCTAAAGTTAATGTTGAACCTATCTCAGGAACACACACTTAAAAAAAAAATCTTTGTGGGGAGAACCTTATACAAAAGTAATGCCTCCACCTTCGTAACTCCTCAACAGATGGCAGTACTGATATGCAGTAGGTAATGGCTTGTTCAGTATACTCTCCTCTACAGTTCCATTTTAGCAGGAAGCCTTAGCATTGAATGGTTGTGATATCAAAGTGTGAAGTATGGAACCCTGTGCAGATGGTCAATCAATGCGACTTAAGCAACGTGCAGTCATTGAATTCTTGACAGCAGAAGGTGTCACCTCAACATCTTTAAACTTACTCGCCCAACGATGCACAGTACTCACATCAACACAATCACCATAAACAGTTTGCATTCTCTGATGAATCTCCTTTGGGGTAACACCTTCTGCTGTCAAGAATTCAATGACTGCATGTTGCTTAAGTCGCATTGACCGACCAATGTGCAGCGTTCCATACTTTGCACTTTAACAACACAACAATTCAATGCTAAGGTTTCCTGCGAAAATGGAACTGTAGAGGAGAGTCTACTGAACAAGCCAGTACCTGCCAGTTATGAAGGTGGAGGCATTACTTTTCATTCAACCCTCGTATAAGTTTTCTGAAGTGAGAACTTAAACTTGGAAGAGATTCATCCCTCCATGGGACCCACCAACTTGCACTGTTTTTATTTGTTCTTCCAATTCATGATGTGCTTTTTCATGAAGCCTGAGAAACAGCCTTCTTGGTGTATCTAGCACTGCTTTTCTTCTCTGTTGAAATAAGTTCATCTATTGAGGCAGGAGCCCCCAGTTGTGCAATGGGTTAAACCCTTGTGTCAGCAGAACTGAAGACCAACAGGTCGAAGGTTTGAATCCGGGGAGAGTGCCGCTGAGCTCCCTCTGTCAGCGCCAGCTCCTATTGCGGGGACATGCGCGAAGCCTCCCACAAGGATGGTAAAACATCAAAACATCCAGGCGTCCCCTGGGCAGTGTCCTTGCAGATGGCCAATTCTCTCAATTCTCTCACACCAGAGACAACTTGCAGTTTCTCAAGTTGCTCCTGACACACACACACAAAACTCTTGAAGCTCTATTGTGTATTATGTACTTCAGTTCTTATTGTAAAAAAAAGGTTGGTTTTCTGGGTTATTTTGAATAGACAGAACCATTTACAAATGCTAGTTTTTTTAATTGATAGTGGACAGCAACAACAATAATAACACTTTATTTATATTTTGCTCTATCTCCCCGTGAGGACGAAGAGTGGATTACAACATACACAGATAAGCAAACATTTAATGCCTTTAATACAGTGGAATAACAACGGCATACAAATACACAGAACAAAGGTAAATGCTTCCCCTTTCATCTCCAGCATCTGGAGGCGGTACCCAACTTTGGCCATGGAGAGGTGCTCTTGTTCCATTTCCAAGCCGAGGGGCCTGTTGTCCTTAGACACCTCTTGGTCATGTTGCATGGGCACCTTTATTACCTTTCCGCCAAGGTGGTACCTATTGATCTACTCACATTTGCATGTTTTTGAACTGCTAGATTGGCAGGAGCCAGGGCTAACAGTGGGAGCTTATTCTGACCCATGGCTTCAAACTGCCAACTTTTAGGTCAGCGGATTCAACAGTTCAACAGTTTAACCTATTGTGCCACCGAGAAATTTTCTTTGCTCTATCTGTAAGAACTAGGACTTCATCCCACGGGACAAGTAAAGCATTTTGTCATCGATGTTTTTCCCTTAAGTTTCAGAATGTCCTATTTTGAAATTAAACGGACAATTTAATTTTCCTATTTCCATCACACGGGTTCCCTCTTTCTTTTCTAATTATCCGCTTGCCTTCTCATCACACGGGATACATATTTCTTCTCCCACCATCTCCTCCCCTATTTTCTTTGGATATTATAATTTCTCTTTATAAGTGCAGATAGTTCTCATTTCAAAAGGTAAGTCTATTTTTTGACGTCTAAAAAAAGATATAAATTACCATTCCTTCTTCCTCAGTCCCAAAATGTTCATGGCGGAAGAAAGAAATCAATTCTGCCCATCTCAGCTTCTCCCTTTATGATGACGTCATCATTATGTTTACAAACGGGCAAGAGGGAATTCCCACCATGCGTTAAATTGGGTATTTTTTATGTCTCTATATGGGGAATTGAAAAAGAAGTTGATTGCTAATCGACTTTGGAAGTGTAGGAAAAAACCACACTTTAGAAATGGTGAAATACCTGGAACCCACTGTACAAAATTGCATCATGTGATAAGCTCCGTCGGCAGCCATTTTTTAAGTGTGTAGAATCGCTGATTTTATTGCATGTGATTTTGTTTTCATGTAAGGATTGACTTGAGAAACTGCAAGTCGCTTCTGGTGTGAAAGAATTGGTTGTCTGCAAGGATGTTGCCCAGGGGACACCCAGATGTTTTACCATCCTGTCTGACGGGAGCTCACCCAACTCCCCAGATTTGAACCGCTGACCTTTCGGTCAGCAGTCATGCCGGCACAAGGGTTTAACCTATTGCGTCACCGTGGGCTCCATTGTGTGTGATGAAGTCCCTAGAATCTATGAAGAATGTCTGCGTGGAAAGTCATATTCTTTGTGTCATGACAGTTTTGTGGGTGGATGAAAACAGGCAAAGGAGTCAAGCATAGGCAAAATGCTGGACCAGGACATGCATGAGTCAAATCATAAGAAAGAGAAATAGCTGATGACACTATTGCTATTATCTAGATGGAAACAGTTTTTCCTATAACATAGTAACCGATAATTCTAGTTAGCAATAGTTTGCATGGGTTTTGCTTTGAAAATGTCTTAAATTCGAGTGAATGGTAAAGAACGTTATACTTATTTTGCACAAGTTGCCATTTGCATACAGATTTAGACACTTTTCGTTATTTTTGAATCTATATTTTCTGATTATATATTAGATTGTTTGTGTCAAATCTATGTATATAATAAAAGTTAGTGTTTGTATGCGGCGGGAGGGAGGGCGGTGTATGTGGCAGCTTTCTGATTGGCTGACACTTTCACAAGCCACTGTGACCAGTACAGGTGATGGACCTGGACCAGACTTGGCACACATAACCTCCATGACCCCCTTTACATCCTGGTAAGGTTTGGGGTAGGACAGACAATGGATGATGGGATTTGTAGTGCTTTCAAAACCTTTGGTTCCCACAAAGACCGAAAAGACCAAACTTGGCACACAGAACCCCCATGACCCACTCTACATCCTACTGCTGTTTGGAGGAGGACAGGCCATGGATGATGGGACTTTAAGTACCTTCACTCACTTTCTGAAACTGCTGCAACCCTCACCCAATAACTGATCAAGACCAAACTTGGCACACAGAGTCCCCGGGACCCACTCTACAAACTCTACATACTGGTGCAGTTTTGAGGAGGATGGACCACGGATGATGGGATTTGTACTTTCCCATAGACCAATGCGGCCCACACATTTTGGTGTGGTTTGGAGGATGGACCATGGAGCTATACTTCACCTGTACCCACTGAACCCAGCCAACATTGGATCTCGACTAAACTTGGAGCACACACAAACAATGCATTTCTGAAATAACCCAGGCAGCACCGGGTCCCCAAGCTAGTAATTAATAAAAATAATTTTTAAAAAAAACATAAGAAAGGGTTTGTGTGTCTAGAAAGTTGACTTGTGGTCTATCTGTGTCTAGGAAAAAAATCGCCTAATGAACATGGGCCAAGGGCATTTGAAGGAGCGTGATGAAGACTCCCCAGAAGAGAGGCAGGGTGTTACTCAGGTATGTTCAATGGCTTTCATCTCCAATTCCCCCACAGACCTATTTACCAAAATGGTTGGTCCTTTCATACCATACAGTTATAGTACTATGGTCCTACCTGTACTACATTTGCTTATCCTGTGGAATCTTGGAATTTGCAAGTTGTTCAGTTGTTTGCTTCTGGTGTGAGAGAATTGGCCATCTGCAAGGACGTTGCCCAGGGGACGCCCGGATGTTTTACCATCCTGTGGGAGGGTTGTCTCATGTCCCCGCAGGAGAAGCTGGAGCTGACAGATGGGAGCTCAACCCAAGCAGTTTCTCAAGTAGCTCCTGACACGAAAAAAGTTGTTCCTCTTAGACAACGCCTCTAGATTGTTGTGAGGATAACATAGTGTATTACTGGGGGAAAGGGAGAGGGAGAGACTTATGTATGTTGTCATCTATATTTTCCCAAATCCACAAGTGCCAAAACCTTCAGTAATTGCTCTTAACCTCATTTCTGTCTTTCCCCTTGATTGATTTCAGTGATTGACGCAATGGAGGATGGCTTTAGTGTTTAAGAAATGGTGTTTAAGAAAAAGCCTCTCCTCTGCTTTCATGCTTTCTGCTATGCTCCCATGTTGATGTGCCTGTGTCTCTCCTGCAGCTCACTTTCACCCAAAAGACGGATCGGAAACTCATTGTCTTGGGCTCGGACCAATCTGATTCATCTTCCTGTGTCTTCTCCGTCCACAGTTCTGTCAAGGTCTGTCTTGACCTGTTGGTCTGTCTTGATTGTCAGTGTCTCTGTCTCTTCCTTGTACATGTGTGGATGTTATCCTCCTGTTCTACAGCCGTATTGTTCATCAAGAGGAGACAAATCTGCAAGATGATCTGCTCCTTTTCAAGAAGGCACAGATTGAAGGCCAGTGACAAATCCGGCAATACCGGAGCACCTACCTTGAAGGCGGGGTCCTTCTTATCCCCTAAGGGCCTAATTCACTTCCAGATAATTTTTCAGACCGGATTCCAGTGCTAGGTGGTGCTCCAAGCAACAGGGTGGAACCCAAAATACCAGACACAAGGGAGGCTGGCAAACCAAAAATGTTAAAAGAGGGCCTCCCAAGGTGACAGAAATGCAAAATGTAAAAGAAGATAATCCAAATTGAGCATGTAAAAAATTATGAGAGATTGTATTTATTTATGTATTTATTTATTTACCATATTTATATCCCACCCTTCTTAACCCTGAAGGTAGCTTTACACATAGGCAACGATTCGATGCCTTAAACTAATGTACAACTGAAATAAACATTTTAAGATAGAATTAAAACACATTTAAACATATAAAAACATTACATTCACTCTTAACCATGCTGTCCACAATGGTAATCTGGGCCATTCCAGTGGTCAATGCACATAATTCCATATCCATCTATTTCACTACAATTGTTCTCTAAAGGCTTAATCCCAAAGCCACGTTTTCACTCTCTTTCAGAAGGTCAGGAGAAGGGGGTTGAACTAATATCCCTAGAGAGGGAATTCCACAGGCAAGGGGCCACCAATGAAAGGGCCCTGTTTGTCGTCCCCACCAACAGCACGTGTGAAGGAGGCGAGATCGAGAGCAGGGCCTCCCCAGATTATTTTAAATTCCAAGAGAGTTCATGGGGAGATATATATTTAGACAGGTAAGCTGGGCCAGAACCATTTGGGCTTTATAGGCTAAAGCCAGCACTTTCAGTTGTGCTCAGTAGCAGACTGGCAGCCAGTGGAACTGACATAACAGGGGAATTGTATGCTCGCTGTACACCGATCCAGTGAGTAATCTGGCTACTGCCCGTTGGACCATTTGAAGCTTCCAAACAGTCTTCAAAGGAAACCTCACATAGAGTGCTTTGCACTAGTCTATTTGGGATGTAACCAGAATGTGGACTACAGTGGCCAAGTCTGACTTCCCAAAGTATGGGCACAGCTGGCGGACAAGTTTTAATTGTAGGTGTTGTCATCAAATTACATAGGTACAAACATACAACTCTTAATAACCTAGATCCTACTTTGGGTTTCTGAAGCTGGACACTCTTCATGTTTAGTTTAGTGTCTCGCACAAGCATTTCAAACTCTTGCTGTTTATTGGCGGGAATGGAATGCAGTACAGGAATTGGAGAGGCAGCTGATCTCAGTCTGGATAAGAAAAGAAGTGAGTGTGTGCTCCATCTCTTTTTCCTTCCTCTCAAAAGCTAGATCAGCTATATCTTTCTTATCTGGGTTGCCTCCCTCTTCCATCCCCTATCCCCTATCCAGCGACCCTATCCAGGAGCTTAACAGCTCTTGGGGAATGGAAGGGATTTTGGATAACTCCCTGTATCATATCCCAAATTAAAAAGTACAGAGAAGCAAACTGGATCTTCATTTGGCTACTGTAATATGTGATGATGATGATGATAAATTATTATTATTATTATTATTATTATTATTATTATTATTATTATTATTGCAAAGACTCTGGCACAAGCCAGTCAAGGTGGTCCCAGTGGTGATCGGCACACTGGGTGCAGTGCCTAAAGACCTTGGCCTGCACTTAAACACAATCAGCACTGACAAAATTACCATCTGCCAGCTGCAGAAGGCCACCTTACTGGGACCTGCACACATTATTCGCCGATATATCACATAGCCCTAGACACTTGGGAAATGTCCGACGTGTGATCCACTACAACAGTCAGCAGAGTGTCTGCTGTGGACTCATCTTGTTGTGTTTCAAAGAATAATAATCAAGACCTCAAAATCGAACTGCAAAAGCTCTGGCATAAACCAGTACAGGTGGTCCCAGTGGTACTCGGCACATTGGGTGCCGTGCCAACAGATCTCAGCTGGCATTTGGAAACAATAAACATTGCCAAAATCACAATCTGTCAACTGCAAAAGGCCACCTTACTTGGATCTGCACGCATCATTCGAAAATACATCACACAGTCCTAGATGCTTGGGAAATGTTCGACGAGATTTTGTGATTTTCAGGGGGGGGGTTGAAAATTTGGTGAGGGGGGTTGAAACCTGCCTCCTAGCTCACGCTGAAGCAAAGAGCACAGCAGGGGGCTGAGCAGCCTTCAATGCAGCTCCTCCCCTGTCAACCACCTCCACCAAGTCTGGCCTCCTTAATGAGAGCATTCAACCCCTCCCCCCCAACTTGGTTGCTTCACTACATGGGCTATTGCTGCAAGTAATGACAGTGTGAATAAAATGTCAATATTTGCTTGAGATAGTGCTTGCAGTTCTGGAGGGACTCTTAATTTTTTGCATCTCATAGACTTAGCATGGGGATTTGGTTAACCAGTTAAAATTCATGAGTAAACCAGGTTTTTTTCAAAAATCTGAAACATTTGGGGGGGGGGTTGAACCCCTAAAAGCACCCCCTCGCTACAGGCCTGCACAGTCCCAAACACTTGAGAAGTATTCGACTTGTGATTTGGTGATACGAAATCCAGTATCTATGTCTTGTTTGCTCCTTTCATTTATATAATAATAATATAATAATAATAATAATAATGATAATAATAATAATAATAATAAACCTTTATTTCTAGACAACCGTCTCTCCCCAGAAGGACTCAGAATGGTTTACACATAAAAAGGCAAACATTCAATTCCTCAAAGTAGATAAGAGACATAATACAAAATAATGTAGAGTAACAGCAGAAAACTTACAACAAAAGAATTAAGTATCAAAATAAAATAAAAACAAGAACAATCCATTAAGACATAAAAACTAATACATAAATAAACATTACAATGCACACCCTAAAAACAAATTATGAGATAGTATGTTTAAATGGCTGACATCGTTGTTTCATTTATGATGTATCATAACTGTAGATTAGCCAGCAGACCTAATCCTCCTCCTCTCCATATGCTAAAGTGCATAGGTGCATTTTTACCAGTTTCTTAAAGGAGAAGAGGGTGTATTTCCTTAGGGAAGGAGTTCCAGAGACATAGAGCGATCACAGAGAAGGCCCCCACTCTCGTTTCCACCAACTGAGCTTCTGACATGTGTGGGACTGAGAGGAGGGTCTCCTCTGTAGACCGCAGTGCACCTGATAGTTTATATAGGGAGATGCTATTAGAGAAACAGCCTATAGTCCTTGTTGTTGGGAAAGGAAGAAAAAATCCAAGTGGATCTGACTGTGTCACTAATTGGCACATCAACTCACACTGCACTGTTAGTTTACTCATCCACTGTGGTTCTCATGCCCAGGAAGGGAGTGAAATGTTCAAGTGGATCCAGGTGTACTACCAACTGGCATGTCATCCACTTGCCATCACTGGTGGGTGGATCCATTTGGACCTTTTTCTTCCCTTTCCATCTATGATGGTTATTTTGCCAAACAGTTGGAAAGTGTGGTGACACCCAGGGAAGTGTTTGGAATTTCTGCTTTTTTTTTTGGAAAGGGATCTTGTGGAGTCACAGGAACCAGAATCCTTCCTCCTTTCTCTTTCCATCAAATTTTTGACAGTGGTAGAACATGGGCACCTTAAGGAAAGTTTCCATAGCAATGGAAGAGTAAGCAGCACCCTTTCCACAGAGATAGAAATGGATGGCTGGCAGCAAAAATTTCAGATTTTGGAGGTTTTCAGATTTCTGAGTAAAGGACTCTCAACTTCTACATTTTAAAGCTGTGTTGCTGCCAAATGTAAGTTCCTCACTTCTGAGAATGGTGGTGGGACTGACCCTTTGTGGATTTCTTTTACTGTTGCTTTTGAGCAACTGATATTTAGAGGCATATGTTTTACCTCCCAATAGAGTCCCCATGACTAATAGACATGAATGGAAATATCCTCAGTGCATATATTTGAAAATTTATTACGTATCACGTTCTGGTCAAGCTTGTAGAACAACACAGCTATCCTGCTGACATACTTAGGTAGACAATTAGGAGTTTGCTCCCCATCTACCTGCCATCTACAATGAGAAGCCACTCAGAGACCATAGTGTTACATGGGAGATGGTTGTCTTCCAAAGGAATGTAGCTTGAATTCAACGTAAGTTGGAAGAGTGTGGAAAAGCAGCCATGTTAATTGTGGAGCGATAATCATAACAAGGATAACATTGATAAGATCTGAATGTAAGTGTCTAGCAGGAGCTTTTGTTTATCTTGTTTGCTGGATTGGGGAAGGCACAAAATGCTCTCAGAGTATCTGGAGTGTTAGCACCATGATAGAGAGTGACTCTGTAGCATGCTGCTATCACACCAGACATTTTGCAAACCTTTCCGTGTCAGAAAAAAAATCAAGTCACTTTGGTGTAATCTGTATTTAGCTGTCAGTTTGGTCAGTGTCATTTTGGATTTTCATTATAGCAGCTTCCTCCAGTTTATAATTCACAGAAAATGTGTTGTTGAAGGCTTTCATGGCCGGAATCACTGGGTTGCTGTGAGTTTTCCGAGCTGTATGGCTGGGCAATGTTAGGAGAGAATGCTTCAGGAATGGCCATACAGCCCAGAAAACGCACAGCAATCCAATTCACAGAGAGTTTGCATCTATCGTTGGAGGCTGTAGATAAACCTGACATATTATGTGGTCTGAGAAGAAGATGGTCAACTTGATATATTCTGTGACCTGGGATAAAAGACTATTCCAGCAAGTTGTTGGTGAGGAATAAACAAGAGATGCAGCTCACACAGCACTCTTGTCGTCCATCAGAGGAGTATAGCTTCAGAGCTCAGATAGTTGGTGCAATGTCCTTTGTGGTAGGGCTGGGCCTGTTATTATGAAATTCAGTTAAAGAAATGCTGAAATGGAGATGAATTTAGGAGCAGCTGTCCTGTGGAACTAGAAATGAGAATGACAACCCCTTTAAATATTCACTTCTTAAAAGACTGGATATGGTGGGAGGAGATAAACAGAGAGCTGTTATTCAGAAAAGCTTGTCATGTTGTGCCATTCATTTTACTGGGGATGTGTGATAGGTTTCAGAAA